ATAACTCTGTTAGTTACCTTTGGCTTTTGTTTTCTTCTGGAAATCACCTAAATAAATCAAATTATCCTGTTTAAAAATATAGTCAGCGAACAAACTGCAAATAGACTACTGATTGGTTTCTGTTTCTTGCCTGTCCTTTGCTGCTGTAGGTCTTACTAGGAAACTCTGACCGATAGCATGCCGAGGACCGGGCAGCTTTTTACATTTGATTCAGTCTTCATCGGTTGACTGTGGCAGTCCGCCGGAGTGCAAGTGGAAGCGTTCAACAGAGGAGCTGACAAGTCTTTGTGTCTGTAGTCACGGTACAAGGGCTAGAGACTTCTAGACATGTCGTCAGTTTACTAAACTCCAAATCCGCTATCTTTATGTTAGTATTTGCTGAGAAGTAATAGGTACCGACTGCGCCTAGAATCCTTTGCAAGAAAACATGCGATCTGCCTACGATTCGCTGTCTTCTTCGTTACTAAAAAAACGTGTCAAGTGAGTAACAAAAAACAGGAAAATGTAGCCAGAACGGTGTACTCGGCCTGAAGGTTACTTCCACCGTGCCAGCGCTTAGTCAATATTCCGTATGTCATTGCGGGCGGCATAAATTAGCGCTCTAGCATATATTATGCAGGCGGGACGGGCAAGCCAGCTACTGCAGAGCCGCTGATGATTGATAGCGCCACTTACTCACCTTTCTGGGTTTTTCTACTTTGATATTCTGAAACATTGGACTCTTTTTGCATGCACAATCAGCTTAGGCGGGCGAGGGCTAAAAGTAGGCCGTGCCGAAAGAGCATGACTACTCGGTCCTGCTGTTTCTTAAAATAAAATCTGTACATGCAGACCAGCAGCGCTTTGTGGTATGTTCCGCAATCGTGTGCAATCGAAAACATATTTGCGGCGTTGCTTAGGCATGGGCCTTGACCATAAATGCCAGCAAAACTAATTTAGGCAGTATTAACCGCAGCTGTCATCTGAACGCAGTACTTTCTGAAATTCAAATGCTATGCGAACGTACTCTGTTGGAATTTCAAATTCATAGAGGATGACACGCTCCATGCTCCATCACACAAGTAAAACTTTTTCTGCATTTGTGTTAGCAGGGGACCCTGTACTCCACTTACACTTGACAGGAAGGTAATGGTAGACTCTAGAAGATAGTTATTTTCTATTTTTGCTATGTAGCTATCACCAAACAAGATTTTATTACCTCATTCGATCATCAAAACGTGTAAAGGTAAGCATTTGCACCTATTCTGTCTAATGCATCGTTAATAAAATAAGATATTTTGAAGAGAAGTAAATGTTTACTGATTGGTACATCGCTGATAGAGGTGAATAGGCAACAGTTCCAGGAAATAGTTCAGATGATGATGATGATTGACCATGATGATGAATATGATGATGGTGATGATGTTGATGATGATGATGATGATGGTGATGATGATACTGAGGTTGATGATAATGATGATGATGATGATGATGATGATGATGATGATGATGAGATTTTGGTGGTGGTGGTGGTGGTGGTGGTGGTGGTGGTGGTGGTGGTGGTGGGGTGATGATGATGATGATGATGATGATGATGATGATGATGATGATGATGATGCAATCGTTTGGAACAAGACGTTTATTGACCTGAAGTTTCGGATTCTCGTTCGAATCTACCGTCAGAGACAATCGCAGAAAAGGGGGATAAAGGCACAGGGTGCTCGGTAGCTATACTCCGTAGTTGGCTCACGACCATATGCGTTCTACGATCAGCAGTTCTCATGATCACTACTGGGGATTGCAATTAATGCGATGCTCTCTTGTCAGTCCGCATCTGAGGCATTACCTGCCGTAACTCCATCATCCGTATTGGATGTTGAGGTGCTAATGACGCGGCTTGCTGTCATCGAAATTGTTGGTCATCCTTCTCATATGCTTGATTCCCTTGCCCGGGCAGTGTCTTAGCACAGAATATGCAAAGGGCCGGTGAGAAGTGCAGCATTTCATCACGGCAGATGAATGATCTGAGTAATAGTTGGGGGGGGGTTGGCAGATCTGCTAAATTCAGTTGGTTCAATTGTGAAAAATTTGCGGCCTCGTTGGGAGTCGAACCCAAACAGCGTGAAAGGCTTTTGCGCAGCCAACGCGCTACCATTGACCTACGAGGCTCACTGGGCGCCGTGAATTTAACCACACTTGGATCGATTTTACCCGCCCAACTTACGTCCCCACCCCTAAAGATTAAGGTAGCTCAGTAGTCATGCTGTTGGATTATATATGATTGCTTAGGAAGTCCGGCCGGGCAGTCAGTTTTCTGTTTTGTAATGGTGGATTCCATACCAGCAGTAAGTTGGGCGGGTGAAGTCGATCCTAGTGTGATTAAATTCATGGCGCACGGTGAGTTTCGTAGCTCAGTAGTAGCGCGCTGGCTGCGCAAAAGCCTTCCTCGCTGTGTGGGTTAGACTCTTATCTAGTTCGCGAATTTTTTACAATTGGGTCAACTGAATCTGACTTATAAGCATGTTCCCGTATTCTGTACTGAGACTCTGCCTGAGCAGGGGAATCAGCCAGCTGGGGGAGGGCGTAGGTGACTAAGGACACTGAGCCAAATTGCCTATTAAGTGCGACGCCA